CACGAAGAGCCGCCTGGCGTCGATCGCAGGGCTGAGATTTTGTGGCTAGAGAATCGAAATAAAACATCAACCTTTGCCCTTGGATTCAGGGATGGTTAAATCAAGTTAAATCGGTAAAATAACGACACCAGGAGCAAACAACACACGTATAGAATAAGGTAAGCCATTTCTATTTAATATTTTCACTTTAACTATCTCCATGGATATCTTATAGAAAATCCCATACAAATCCTCATAAATCGATATGCAAATTATGTTCCTTGTGTGGTTCTTAAAGAGAGCTTGTGCCGCCTGTGATAAAATTTGCTCATCAATAGCACGATACACCTACAGAAAGGAAAACTTTGCAACTTATTTTCTGAGGCGGAAATGTGGATTGGCGAAGAGACAACTGCAGACATTGAACCGTAAAGAGTTAAACTCGGAGTGGACTGGATGCTAGACACAGCTACATTGGCCAAAGAGAAAGAATAGTCATCATAGATGAAAGCTCAGACGCACTTTAACACGATAGTGTAATTACAATGGAAATGCAATGGACTCAGAACCATATTTTCATCTGCTTTCACATTATCACGACGTTCAAAGTTACCATGTGCTCTAAAAAACCACATAATCTTTACTCCCTTATAAGAAATCATTTCACGGTTCTGATTTTAAATGAGAAAGCAAACATGCCAGCTGAATCCTTCTATTTATTAGTCATTCTTAAAAGGTCGTTCATACTTATGTCAGACTCCTCTTTGTAAAGACCCCTGGTTTTTGTATTCATATTACCCTTTATTATTCCGTGAACTTATAGTATCATCTAAATCCTTACAAAAATTATTAACGCGTAGGTATATTCACAAGTTGAATTCATGGCCGATATTGATGTGGTACAGGAGCAATAACAAATCGTCGAATTTACAGGCCTAAGAGTCACAAGGACAGTCAACTTTTTCTGCAGACTCTAACCGTTCATATTTTTCTTTCTATTTTGTCGCTTAAGGTAAAGGTTTAGATTCTACCGCAACATTCCTTTGTTATAAAAAATAAATCACAACAATCTACACCATATACCACGAGCGAGCGCAAGTCGCAAGTGAGCTCAAGTGAGCGCAAATGAACACGAGTTACCGCTGGTGATCACGAAGTATTACCACGAGTGACGCCGAGTGACCAAAAATGACTACGCTTGGGCGTTAGGCTGAACGTCCTTTTTTTTTTGGCTAAACAAGAGCAATTAACGAATGTTAATCGTATGTCACTCGTATGTAGCCGTAGGTACATCTATAAATCGTAATTCACTCGTCTTCCTCGTGTAATGTTTCACTCGTGATCCTAAATAAATTGCGAAAGATCGAACATTTATCAATCACTGCAGAGGCAAACAACACCAAGGATGATTGCAGCTTTTGGGAGGTACAACAAGTTATACCAAACGATTAGCCTGCAGATTAATATTACTTTAAATGATCAAAACAGGATATTCAGAAATAATTCACAGTTTACTTACCAATGGTCGTATCAGCTTCATATTCCGCTTCAAATCCACGATCAACTATTTGTCCAGGATGGAACGATACAAACATTTGGTTTCCAGTCGAGAACTGAGACTCATTCAAAGGCGACCCCTGACAATATCGCCCCAGCAAAGGAGAGCTTGTTGACCCACCATCATAAAGCTCAACATAAGAACAAGAATTTGAACAAGGTTTGGTCGAACACGCACTTAAGACAAAGTCAGTAAACACAAACTTAATTATTTTTTCAACTGGCACGGTAATGATCCATGTACAGTTTCTGGACGCAGTGTAGTTACTCTTTGGATAGTTTGTGCTGCTTATTTTCCCGCTTTCCCCTGAGAGAAGAATTGCTTCCTTTGGACAAACTGAAAAAAGGAAAAATATCCAAGTGAATGTGGGAGAGTAATAATGGATTGGTGTGGAAAGGAATTTCAAAAGGAAATAGAGTACAGTCAACATGTAGGTGAAAAAAACAAAACCATATCATAACTTTAGTGATCTGACTAGAACGTAGTTAGGGATCATTTATTATTTATGGCCTGTGATAGGAGGAGGAGGAGGAGGAAGACGTGNCTGGTTTTAGACGGTGCGTTTTCATTCCAATAACCTCATATAATAGCCACACTTTCCTCTTTCACTTATCTTTAAAATAGGGCTTACTTTCATGGTTTCTTTAGTCTGCTTTGAGGAAACGGTTACATCAATTCGGTTCCCCTTCATCATATCCGAAGGATAAGAAGTTTAACCCGCAGAGAAAACTTTTTTTCGCTCTAAAATGATCCCTCAACACGGTGCCTTTTCAATTTGTAACGTGGCATTTTCCACAAATGCGAGTTGCAAGGAAATGAAGCCAATACTAGGGCAAAAATACTCCTTCGAGCGGTTTGTTTTCTTTTTACTTCACCCGCCATTTTTGAACACATTTTAATTACCATATATGAATTACCTAAAGATAAAAAAAGCCGCCTACAAAATAATCGGCTAAAAATCGAAAAAAAGCCGGAATTTAAGTGGAAATTATAGCTAATATTAAATGCCATGTTTAATGTTCCCCCAGAACTTCTTCTCAACCTTGGAAAAATTTTTTAGCGAAGACCTCATTGAAAGTGATGGCTTTTCCTTCTTTTCGATCTATTCTCCACGAAATCTGCAGAACTAAGAGCATTTGAGCTGAGGAAATAGCCTTTCGAATGATTTTTCCTTCGTCTGTCCGCCATATTAAATACTGAAATTTACGCGCCCGCCGTTCAGGCCGCTGACCGTCTACTATTTCTGGCTATGGTCCATTTGCAGCGTTAAATATTCCGAAGCAAGAACATTAGATTTCACCTGAGATTTCACGAAGTTATTTTCACTACTTACTTGGAGGACTGTAGTTCAACAGCTTGTAAGTTGCCTCAAAGCCGTCATAATCCATACTCATATTATCGGACACAAACACCACCCTTAAGCTTTCTTGTAGTGAATAGAACGTTAAATTCCTATTCCTGGGTGCACCACACAATTTTCCAGCCGCGGAATCATCACTGAAGCTATTTTGAACTTCCAAAGAGTCACACGAGCAAGCGACGTCACATTGTTCCAGCCCGTAGTCTGGTATTGTGAGCTCAACGCGGTATCCTTGTTTCCCTATAATCTTCCAGCTACATTTCTGATTGAATGGATACTTTCTTGGATAAAAGGGAGAGGAGAAAGAACCTGTTGTATCGTTGAGGATCATATCTGTGGGGCACACTGAAAAGAGTAATCAACTGTGTCAGGCTCAGGCGAATACATCTTGCCTATTGTTATAACTGAAGTTACTTAGCTCCCATCGAAAAACTGCGGGCAAATCTTCTTTTTCTTAGGAACTATTTTAATTTTGATTTTTTCCACCAAGGTTAAAGTCCACCGTGATCGACTGGATAAATAATTTTTACTACCACCTACAGCTAATTTTCGTATTTTGCAGCCTTTTATTTCAGTAAAAGTAACGTGCATGAAATGAAAGAGAAACATTGTACAAAAGCTTGCCTTGATAAGCTTCCTAATTAAAAAATCACTCACATAAATCATCTTCCATTTCTTCGGTCAAGGACGTACCCAAGACCCGGGAGCACAGCTTTTTCTCGTCTGGTAAATAACATACGGTATATTTACCTTTTTCAATGAATTACCATAAGAAAAAAATCACTTACACAACTCTCCATCTATCGCCTTATAAGATGCATTGAACCCTTTGTTTACAGTTCCGTTGCGGGATTCAAACCTCACTTGAATGAAATTTCCCTCGGAGTAAACAGGAGGGGGAAGCTTTTGACCACAAAGCTTAAAGTCATTAAAATCTCCTTCATGCGAAGCAACGTTTATGATAAAAACTCGAGCACTCGTTGTCGCCGCTCCAAAACAGTCTTGGTTTTCATTCATTACCAGGATGAAGTTCAAGAAGGTCAGTTTTATGATTTTCCCGCTAGGAACCGTGATATTCCAGATACAAATGCTGTTCGCATTAAAGTTGTTGGGAAAATTGGGGCTGGAAAGGTGGCCACTCGAAGCATTAAAGGATTCTCCAGGAGATGTGCAAGCTGAAAGAGAGAGCATCCATTTTTCACTGTTTTACTTTCTTACTGCAAACAAACTTGATAGAGTTCCAGAAATATAGAAATTAATACTAGCACACTGAATTGTTACCATTATCTTAGTAAAACATGAGAAATCCTGTCCATTTAAACACAAAATCAAACTGTAGATTTTTTAAATGCAGACATCTATGACGAATATTTATACTTACGATCACCTGTCACTAGAGTCAGGAAGGCAGCTGCAACAAATACAAAGAACGTTCGTGTTAAAACCTTACTTAACTTAAGGAGTAGAAACAGTTCATCTCAAATCTTGAAAAGTTCGACGTCACCTGAGCAAAAGAAAAAGCGGACAAAGCCTCTTTTTGGTTTTGTTAGAGGTTGTAAACTGCGATTGTTTTTATGTGAGGCCAAAAAGAATTCTCAGCCGAGTTTTGAACTATGAGCTTCTGCTAAAAACCTTTTCATTTTCTGAGCACTTGAACTATTTAACTGGTCTTAGGCTAGTCAATGATAGTTTTGTGTGAGGAGCAAGTTCATTGCAAGATTTCTAGCTCAGCCATATCCCCATATGGATGCAAGGCAAAAAGAATTTTAACTTTATTTTAATGGCGAAGTTTCTTCTCGACGTTCAGGGGGGCCAGTCAACATTACAATCCTACAACACTTAAGACGCCCCTCAGGTGGGTCAGAGAGCTGGGGTTACTGTGAAGCGAGGGTAGATCCTTCTGACTTTCAAGTTCTTGTCAAGGTCTTAAGCTGTAAAAAGCCCTCCGCTCCCTAATAATCTTTCCTCCCGCCCTTCCTAATCCAAACGTGGATGAAAACTCCAGTATTGTCATTTATCTGGACTCAAACAGGTCAAGATTTATCACAGCGGTTACAATTGTATACTAAATAAACAAAAACAAATCGAAGTCCTTTACCAATTTACAGCCAAAGAAGTAATGTACACAGTATTCACTAAAGCTGGGCAACAGTGAAACAAAAAGTGATAACTTGCTGTTGGCTATCTTCGGTGTGTTGTTAACAATTCCCTCGTTTCCTCTCACCGCCTGAAATCTGCTCACACAGGGGCAATCTCAACCCATAAATGGTGGTTTCACGTAAACTTTAATCCCAAAAGTACCGATATCTCGTTTTCATTTCTTTTCTTTTCGGTCTCGAAGTCTCCCCTTTTTCTTAAGTCTGGGATTTGTTCTTACAAACGAGGGTCTCCCTTGAAAGGCAGTAAACTGAATAATTAGGTAGTAGAGAATACATGCGGTGGTAATACAAATTACAGGGAGCTTTCACTAAAAAAGTTTTATCTACGTTAAGATAAGTGATTTAAACGTATTTGTGCACGATCCTCGCAGTAAAGAGCACTATTTAAGCAAAAGTGAAAATCAGACCTGAAAAAAGTCAGACCTGTGGGGGACTCGACCTACTGACCTCTGTGATACTAGTTCAATGCTCTACCAATTGAGCTAATTGGCTCGAATCCCGTACAGACCTGAAATTTTTCAGGTCTGATTTTCACTATTGCTTAAATAGTGCTCTTTAATGCAGAGATCGTGCACAAATACCTTTCTATAACCGCAGTTCAGATATATGAATTTCATATATTCGTTGTGTTTCATTTATCATCTCACGGGTTTATGTCGGACTAATTTGGCTTGTTAGCTCAATTGGTAGAGCGCTGCACTAATATCGCAGAGGTTAGTGGTTCGAATCCCATACTAGCCCGAATTTTTTCAGGTCTGATTTTCGCTATTGCTTAACAAGTGTTCTTTACTGCGAGGATCGTGCACAAATACACTTCTACAACCGTAGTTCAGATATATGAATTTCATATATTCGTTGTGTTTGACAAGTGATTTAAAAGGCTTCCAAAACTTTTTTTTTATCTTTTTTTTTATCTTTTTTTTTTTTTTAAGAAACTGTCATAATATGATACCTGTCAGTTTGAGAGCGAAGAAAAGGGTGCGTGTACACTTTTGAATACTCGAGTTAAAGAACTATCTATCACGACAAATTTTCACAAAAAACAGTGAGTGATTTTGTGGAAAATATCATTCATTTTCGACGACGATTTATCTTGGAAAGTTTATTTCTGTCCAGTTTTCAGTGGCAAGCAAAGTCATCATAAATAAATTCAAATGCATGTTTTGAAGTTTTGAGAGTCTGTCTTGTTTGTTTGCAGATGGGTGTGTAAATCTTGTCTTTCTTCCACCGAAAAAACCGAAGTCTAATGAAACACTTTTTCCATCTAGACACAAGGGGATTTAATGCGGCTTTAACTCATCAAATTCCTTTGGTTTTTGTTGTGATTTTCCGGTAAACATATTCAAGTTCAGTTCACTTTTAAAGAATTCCCAAGATTGTCTTTTTAGAAGAACTCAAACTGTTTTACAACATACAAATTGTTTTCGAGAATTTAGATAGGTAAATGAATGGAATTGATTAGCGTTATTGCAAATACCTCGCGTTTTTTTCTTTGAATTACCAACATTTTTCAAGGCCGCTGGTCGACCTATTTAAAACATACAACACATTTCTTCGGCAGTGCTATTTGTGTTTCCATAGCTTTCTTTATCTTGAAGTATGTTTACTCCTCACGATTATAAAATTCGCTTTCGCTTTGATAGCTTTTACTGTCTGAATCCATAACTGTGAGGAACTCGTTAAAATATTTACAACTTTAAGCTTCTCTTGAGAAAAAAAGTGTGTTCTTATTGAGCAGCAATGCTGATATATTTTATCATCGGCCATAAATATCAATAAATACGTCAGAACAACTTATTCATCGAGTTGACGCTTAATGTCCTAAAATATCTTCATATTTAAGCACGAGAATCAATTCTCCATTCGCCATTTAGTATAGTGAGGAATAAGAAGTAATCTTTTCGCGTTCAGAGATATTCCGATGAAAAAATCGAATATTACTCGACATGCATCAATGCATTTTTTAAAAAAATCTTACATCGAGTTTCAAAATGAGATTGTTTAAATACGTTAGTTTGTATCAATTGTACCATTTCGTACTTGGATTAAAGAGTGTGCGTAAGTTTCTAAAGAAACTATGGTGCTGTTTAGATGTGGGCTATTACAAGATAATTTGGATTTAACTGAGTTGGTAATGTAAATTTATCACTAGCCTGTGGAGAATTTCTTTGTCCTTCACTCTAACAAAGGGCTAATGATTGAAGCGTTAGCTTTAGAAACTCTATGCGATGGCCAATTTAGGCAATTAATTCAGGTTAGAATAGCAACTTTTCTTCTTGCTCGGTTTAGTTCAACGGCTGTGTTTTCATTTGCCCTAACTTTGCTAAATACATGCCTTGGAATTACCGACTCGTTTCAGTCGAATGACATGTCATGGAATGGACTGGATTGAAACTAGACTGAATGCCCTCAACGACTGCAATCCTAATATAGAAAAATTGCGATACAAACTGAAAGTGACGTTCACGCTTATCTAGATAAGAACTACTGCGAGGATTTCTACGACAAGGAAAAAAATCAAACCAAAAGCTTGTCATTCGGAGCCAAACGAGATATCGAACGGTTAGATCCAGTTCAGTTCACTCGGACAAAAAACTTGTCCGCCTAGCCTTTATGATCTTGTCAACACTCGGTTTGACTTTAAAGTTAAATGGATATGATATGATCTCTTTACCACACTCCTATGCCATTAAAAGCTTTGATAATGTTAACTTGCTAAGTAAATTCAAATTAGTTTCCGGCGAAACAGACTTCTGAATCTGTAATGATTCTTTGCAATGAGTCTTAACATGAATAAACGCAACTTTAGCTTTTTTTGTTACAGCCTGGTGTTTTCCTTTCTCATAGTAAATCCTTTTGCAAAAACCAAGCAAGATCAAGATTCAGTTCAACTGAAATGTTGATGTTTGAAACATCAGCACGTTTTGAAACAAATGAGTTATTCATGATTCAGTCGGCGACAACATAGTTCCAGCTGCTCTCATCAATGGAACAAAATAGTTCTTCACATTTCATTTTTTTACTGAGTGGGATTAAAATTTTTGTTTGAAGATACTTACCCAAGCAGAAAACTCGAAGAAAAAGCAAAACTCCAGCTAGCGCTGTCCGCATCGTGTCGTTAAGGAACCTTGCCATGTTAGGCAATAAATTGATTATCAGGGGACCTTTAGTCGGATCAGTCTTCCGTAAACTGTCTGTCACGATTTCTGACCCTGTTTTCGTTTGATTGTTCATTCTCTTTACATTATGTCGCAGCTTTTCTACACCTA